GGAGAGAGATTAGTGAACTAACATAGAGAAGTTACATGTACGAGGTTACTAGCTTGAGACGAAGTGGACATGTAGACCCCAGTTTACTCGTAGATGAGAGAAGTACTGTATGAAGTATAGGAGAAAGTACATGTAGAGGTACAGTGCAGCCAGATCAGTACATGTGAGGTTACTATGAGAGATATACATGAGAAAGTACTAAGTGAGAGAAGTACATGTAGAGGTTACTAGTGAGAAGTACATGTAGAGGTTACTAGTGAGAGAAGTACATGTAGAGGTTACTAGTGAGAGAAGTACATGTAGAGGTTACTAGTGACTAGCGAGAGAAGTACATGTAGAGGTTACTAGTGAGAGAAGTACATGTAGAGGTTACTAGTGAGAGAAGTACATGTAGAGGTTACTAGTGAGAGAAGTACATGTAGAGGTTACTATGAAGAGAAGAGCATGTATGTGTTACTATGAGAGAATACATGTAGAATGTTACTAGTGAGAGAACGTAGCATGTAGATGGTTATAGGTTACTAGTGAGAGAAGTACATGTAGAGGTTACTAGTGAGAGAAGTACATGTAGAGGTTACTAGTGAGAGAAGTACATGTAGAGGTTACTAGTGAGAGAAGTACATGTAGACGGTTAAACATGAGTAGCAGTAGCATTGAGAGGTACTATGAGCAGAAGTACATGTAGAGTTACTAGGAGAGAAGTATCAGTTATTATGGTATAGTTAACTAGTGGAGACGAAGTACATGTTAGGGTTACTTCAGTTACTGGTATGATAGAAGTACATGTCAGGTTACTAGTGTGGAGAGAATCACAAGTGTAGAGGTTACTAGTGAGAGAAGTACATGTAGAGGTTACTAGTTACTAGCGAGAGAAGTACATGTAGAGGTTACTAGTGAGAGAAGTACATGTAGAGGTTACTAGTGAGAGAAGTACATGTAGAGGTTACTAGTGAGAGGGATGGAGAAGAGAGACGAGGGCGAGGATAGAAAGTTAACAAAACAAAAAACAAAACAGAAAGAGTGACAAAGCAAGAAGAAAGACAGCAAGGGAGTTAACATACACAAGGAAAGAAGTGACAACTGGCAAAAGGGATATGAGATTCCTATTACTATTAAAACGATCAAAATATAATTATGATGCAGTCAAACCTGTGTTAATGGTCACCTCTATTGAACAGATAACTGCCTATATCAGACACTATGACATTTGCCTCGAGTGGCAGTTAAAAGATAAAGCCACCACTATAGAATGGACACCTGTACATGACGACTACTTTCGATGACTACCATGACAATTATACAGCGAAACCACCTATATAGGCGGGACCCACCCCGCCCGTATAAAGGACACTTTTTTTGTCTCCATCGAGTGGTAGTTACACAGTGAAACTTCTTTTATAGAATGGACACCTGCCTCTAACGAATACGTTTGGTCTCTCCTTGAAGTCGTAATTATGTAGGGACGTAGTTTGGCGGAATCCGTTAAACAGATGTTACAATTATACACCAAACCCACCACTTCTATAGAATCGACCTCTGTTAATAAAGCATCATTTCAGTGTCTCCCTTGAGTGACCCTTACATTACGCGCAGCAGAATTTTTTGGTAGATTTGCATGCACAATGTTTACGCGCAGCAGAAATCCTACCCTGCATCGCTGTCGTCCGAGTCTGCCTCGTGCACAATGGGACCGGCGTGACTTATCACATACTCCGTAGCCGACATCTTCGATTTGCCACGTATGCATTCGTCCATGTCGTGGTCGGGAAGCGGCGTCTGCAGGAACAGATGTAGAGTGCTGTCCGACACATATATCATCACCTTCACCACCCTAGAACATCGAGTAGATATCACATTATTATCGCACACGGGATAATTACCTCCGCCAAGGGGTTGGGAGGAGGTTATGTTTTCACCGGCGAGTGTTTGTTGGTTTGTGGCTTTGTGGGTTTGTGTACAGCCTAACTGAAAAAGTTCTGGACGGATTGTGATAACATTTTCAGGATCTAGGTCAGAAATCGCCTAACTTAGAATTGATGAGATTTTGGTGGTGATCCGGATCCAATTAATTAATTAACTAACTAATTAATTAATAAAATTTTAAGGATAGGTCAGAAATGAGGTAACTTAGAATTGATTACATTTTGGTGGTGATCCGGATCCAATTAATTATTTAATTAATTAATGAAATTTTTCACTTAATTAATTAATTAATTAATAAAAATTTTCACAGTGAGAGAATTCAGCTGCCTTGGCGGAAGTCTGTGCTCTCTGAGTGCTCTAGTTATATATAGAATACAGAATGACAAGCTGCACAACAAGTAACTCTACCTAAGTCTGTGTAATACATCCTACATTCACGAATAATTTCGTCATTCTGTGAAACGTAGGTCGTTCAAAATAAAGCAAATTGGAAAGCAAACTCCACCATTAACTGAAACTCGTCAGGTTTACATACATAGCTGACATATATCATGTGGCATACATATAAAGTTAGACTGCCACTACCAATGAGTGACAGTACAAAAGTACTGCACGGCGCACGCCCAAACTATTGTTTTCTTATATTTGCCACTTACTTGTTCAACCATTCTTCCAATAGACGGCGCCTCCGCTCAATGAAATCTTTGTCAAATCTTGAAGAGCATAACCGCTTTGGAGGCAGTTCTGGTGGTTTCCTGCAATAAAAACATGTTACACACATGCAAAAATGTGCACGCACACACGCACGCACACAGTAATTTAAACAAATGCTGGACTCAGTTGGAGCGAGATATAACCATGAACATATCTACACTCCAGGGAAAAAATGTAAAAAAAAATTTCGGGGGCTACTTTTCAAGCTCGCGCGCATGAAAATAGCACTCTAAAATTTGGCTTGCATTGAACTCTATGCAAATTTACGGGGGCTCGTTTTGCCATTTCCTGGGCTCTTTTTGGCATTTCGGGGGCTAAATCGCCCCGAGCCCCCGTGTATTTTTTTCACTGCTACACTCTATTACCTGGTATAACGTGTGACACGGCACACTAGTCATTTCTCTGTTAGACTGTAAACGCCTATCATATATTTAACACGTTACCTAGCTTACCTGTTTCTATGATGACTGCGAAGCTTTTTTCTCAGCCAAATGAACTCTGAATAGCGTCTTCGCACTTTTGATGACCGAGATGTGAATGCCATGTCATTGGTCTGTAATAAGTTGGTAAAGGTCAGCACATTTCTCTCCTCCACACCTCAACCTGCCAGTCTTACAATACATTCTTCTTCCACTCATAATACCTCTCTACTTTTCTCTACCTGATCTAAAACACATAATAATCACCTGCAAGCATATTTCATAGCTTGTATATTGACCTTGGTCCCACGTAATGTGTGTGATTGGGTATCGCACTTCAATACCCAGGTAAGTCTGCAAAGGGAAATGACAAATATAATTAGCATACATATGGATCCCGCAATTCAACAGTTATATTTGAATCACTGGTGTACTGGCCTTTGTGTCATTATTTATTCCAATGTAATTTCCATGAATATCAAACTGGTAGGTATAATCTAATACATTATCTAAATACAAAACTATACAAATCATGTGGGTGTACTATGAACTTTTATTTTAGAATATATGATTGGGAAAATTAATGAAGTATACAGATATCAACACATATAAATACTATACAATTTAATTAATTACACAGTTAAGTTAGTTAATGTATATCATATTAGTAAAACATAGATCTGCTATTAGCATTATTTAAATGCCAGATTCAACAATATTACAAGAAAGCTATGCTCGAAGAATTACATATGCTCGGAAATGCCTTACAACGTTACATTATAATCACATCATGGTCAATAATTAATTAAATTATTAAGTTTGAATGCTGCTTATGTAAATTAATTACTCCTCGAGATGAACTGTTTTGTAATTTCAACACTAGCTAACTAACAATCCTTGTACACAGCAATAGATTAATGAAAATTACCTCGTTGTCTGCGTTCACTGCGCTGTACATTTCATACACACTCATGAAATGCGGATCATAGAAATTTCCCTACCACTATGTCAGCACAGCAGTTTAAGTACTGATTCACATCTAGTACCCCACTTTCGTCACCTTTTATATTCTGCTCTTTGCAGTCGCCTCCTTTCCTAGAAATAATGAAAATGAAAATTTTAACATAACATGGTTAGTTCATTAGTTACCAAATGGCACTCAAAAACTCACTGAGAGACTTCCATGGTGGTCCATCGAATAACCAAAATGCCCACAGAGATTAATAAAAAATTAACAAAGGGGCATTGCTAAATCATTGATCAAGTCAAGGTTAGGGTCAAAATTCCTGCCGAGTCATCACTACAGATTTAGAATAGCAAACAATTAGGGCCTAGATTGAATTAAATAATGTCTATCTCTACACTTACACTTGTACTTAGCTACTTACACTTACACTTGTACTACTTACAACCTCGTTCAGCTGGCATCAGTCATTGCATTCCCAGTAAGGTTTGATCAGTCCAATAAAAACTAAAACAAGTGCCGCGGAGCGACAGCGCTCATCTAACGTCTACTGCGATGACTCTGTGGTGGAGTGGTGGGATTCTAGTAAACCCTGTTAGTCCCAAATGTGTTCACATACGCGCCAAAACAGTGGAAGGCACAGGGATGGTATCAGCAACCTTCTCAAAGGAGTGTTCGTTGGAATCGTTATGAAAGTTGCCACAAGATGGCGCGTACGTTTAAGCGTCTTCAGATTAAAGATGGAAGATCCCATCGTACGTATAGTAGCAACAACTATTTGCAAGACAGAATAGGTAAGCACTCATCCATTTACCTATGCAAGCCTACAGGCTGCAATAGAGAGCTGCCACCTGTAACCTTTCAATTAACGCAGGCAAAAACTAGACAGTACCACCACCACATGCACTGGCAGTGGCATACGTTACATGTAACATACTGACAGTACAGAATGCCATAGAAATTATACGATTTAAGGCTGCCATAAACCTTCTTCAACCAAATTTAGCTTTTGAAATTTCCATGTGACATTGTAGCCCTCATACATCAGGCAGGGCTCGAATTACCGACGGCACCGACGGCAATTGCCGGCGGTGCCTCTATCAATCGCCCGTACTGCCCTGAAAATCCAACCGACGACAGCAGTGACCTGCCTTGCCCTTTTCTGTAATTTGCCGTCGTCGGCTCGTGCCTCTTGCTCTGGCTAGACTGGTTTGCGGCCGCACTGTTTGTCGCGAGCAGTGGTACATTCTCTAGCAGAGCTGAGGCCGGATACCAGGTCTACCCGCGGTTAAAAACAATAACGTGGTTATTGCTGCCAACCGCTGCCAGTAGACAATCGATAAATAGCGCACCTGTGTATGCCCGTGTAGAACACGAATATTTTAATTGCTGCACGCCCGGGACTCGGCGGCCGCGTGCGATTTAAAGCGCGGAAACGACGCTCGCGCAAGAATGGCCACGTGATCGCTGTACGGTGGTAGGCTGCCTTCAAGTGCGCTCCGTAGAAGATTTAGAGAAATTTTAGTAGATTTCATTTACGTATGACACAAAGCTTTCCAGTACACAATGGCTTGGTGCTCACTTTTCTCAAAGATCTGTGGAGCAGGTTGCGATTCTTGATGCTTGTCTTTAAAATTGCCCTCCCGGTGGCCCATCCATTTTAGAGAAAATTCAAGGCAATTTCTTCACATGCCCCAGAAAAATTGCCTTGCCCTGTCGTCGCTTAATGTCTGAGGCGCTGCATCCAGGCTATGTATTAGATTCTCACTAGCAAACCCGGCCAGTTCAAATTTCCTTTCTGAACAGCACAGTAAACAAATCCATGTTTAAACCTCTTTCCTCTTGAGGGTCAAAAGGCGTTATGCGCCGACTCCTACTCTTCGACAATGTCAGCAGAAAGATACTATTCATGCGTCCTTTCAATAAAGTCCATAAAGAAAATGCTTAGAGTAACCGCTGAAACAAAAAAAGTTTCTCCAATCGCCGAATCAGGACCATGTCCTCAGACAAATGTTTAAAAGCTTTGCCCATGGTGCCTATTGACCTTTGACTCTGTGACCGTCAATTTCGAGCAGCCCAGTGAATTGGCTGCTTGTCCTACCATTGATGCCTATTAACACGCCGACTATCACGCAGCTATAGATAATAGGTCGAGAGCCTTTAATTTGCTGCCGCATTCTGCATTCCTCCTATTACCTTAAACACGTTCAAGCGCCACTAATATTTCCATCGATTATGCAAATGTACGAATGCGTACAGTAAGACTGGCACCCTTTGTGTAGTTAATAAGAAGATACGATTACCGTTATAGCAAACGCCCGTATTAGTTTGTCGCAATATCACTTGACCTACATTACTTAAGAAATGTCTAATTGAATTCACGTAAATTCCGTAATCTGGCGCCAACGCTTAATTTTATCTCCAACAAAATTAAACATCGATTTCGGTTCGCGGTACCTCACATGTTGCTACAGGCATGTTGAGGCATCGAATGTTCTGTCCCCGGCTAATTATTGTTTTGCTGTTTGACCCGGCAGTGACGCATATCCTTTCTCAACATATTATTACTTGTTGCTTTTAATCATCAAGTCTTCGTATATATACATGTTATTTTCCGAATCCCCAAGAGCTCAAAACCAAACGTACGGATGCGCATCAGACCACAAGGCATCGAAATCACTGGACGGCCGAGCACTACTGTGCCGATAAACTGTCCGGTGCACTATATAATCTGTATTGACACCGCCTCTGCCGTGTTACAGGCCCGGGCATCGGCGGGTTAGTAACTGTCAACAACGGATTTATTTGACCTCGGATTTTCAATTGCATATTTCTTAGTAACAGCGAGTGAATTGGACAAAACTAATACGGCGTTTGGCTACTAAGGCTAATGCCTACTTATTAAAACTACACAAGGTGCCAGTTACTGTAGCATTCGGTTAAAAATTGCCATAATCATCATGATCGTCTTATGCCTCTTAAGGAGTAAAAAGTTCCCCCTTCTTTACACTCTTGACCTTGGACCCCCAGCTTCGACACCCAACTCGTTTTGACGATCTCCCTCGCCCCCCCCCCCATGCGTGGCCGAATTATCGTGACCGTACGTCGAGCGTTAAAGATTTGTGCCCAACTGTTGACGACTCAGTACGGGCCGGACGGGCACGGTTTACGATTCATGCGATTCTACAAGCTGGCATCTGACCTATGTCAGATGCAGTAAAAATCCTTGATCTGCTGATATGAAAGTTGAGAAAATAATACTCTCGTTTAGACTCTTCTTATCTCTTAAGAATAATATGGCCATTGATTATTGCCAATGTTGATCGAAATGCGAGTAGTAACTGCATCTTGTGTAAGTTAATCACCCTCCCATTTCTCTTGCGTTGTCCAAAACATATGGGGCCGCCACAAATGTTTACGTCATTGCGCGTACTTATCGCTTGACTCCTGGATGACATTTACGGCAAGTAAATGAAATATCAAACAACCGATTTCAAGTCTTGCTTTGTAATGTAACAGCAGTGATAATTGGCGACAAACTTAATTTACGCGTTTTGGCGTTATAAGGTAATGTATCTTTATTAACTACACAAGGTGCCAGTTACTCTAGCATTCGTCAACATTGCATAATCAATGGGCATATCATTCCTTTAATCTTATCTTATCTTACCACCATCGACGCAACTCACATTGACATTGTACCGTACATGGTCGCCTCAGAGTGAGTGCTTTAAATCCATGAGATATGGTCTATGAGATATTAACTAATATAATTACCCAAAAAATATGTCAGCTTATCCGTACTGAATACTACATCGCATAACAAGAAGAAGTTCACTGTCTACGCCTTGGCGATCAACTCACGGGACTCACTCACTGCCCAACTCGTGACCTGCCACCCGGATACGTAAAACCTATTCGGAACTGAAATTCCGGTGCCGTAATTAATGATGTCAAGAATTAATGTCAAGAAATGACAAATAATATTGCTATGCATATTATACATAAGATTCTTATGAAATTTATTTAATTTATTTTATGACGTATTTAATAAAATAATTAGCTATAACTATAAGTTCAGACTCTGCCGAATATAAGTATACTCTTTCTTATGTTTTTGTTGTTGTTATTATTATTGTTGTTGCTGTTGTTACCACCTTTTTCTATGTTCTTCTTTATTTCCTTCCACATCCATCCTCCATCATGTCTTTCTCCTGCCTGTGCAGTTATTATGGTTTGTTAGACGTTATTGAAAGCTAACAACATGCTGTGGCTGTGCACCATTTATTATTTAATAATTATGATAGGTTTATATAATTTGATCATTTTGCAGTTATTGCAGATGTTATATATTGTCAAGAGCTTATAATAGAAATTATTCTTTATTATGAGCTCTAGATGTCGTGTACTGTCATTGTATCACAGAGAGAGAGTGTAACTAGCGTCATCGTATAAGCTGCCAATGAAATTGTTGTTATATAGCTCGTTAGATGGCGCTGATTACAACAAAATGACACCGGTCTGTCTTTTCCAAATTTATCTGAGGCGATAATTCTACGTTCATCTGTTGATTATCCATTGCGTGTAGATTTTGTTTGGAGATTTATGCAGCAATTGATTATCATATTCATTACTAACGGTTAAGCAGGAACAAATAATGAGTGGGGGTGTGTACGGAGGAGGTAAGTTATCTGTTTACACGATAGTTAAGTACGGCACATGCGTTTCACGAAGAGTAAGAGACAAAGCCGGTGTCACGGTAAATAAAATAGTGCGATCTGGGCAATAGGGAGATACTCTCCTATTTACGCAGGCAAGCCGCGCGGTTAACGAGTGCCGTCTGCGGGGTAAAAACGCGGGCGATAAAAACGTCGGGTGATACAGATGTTATAGTGCACCGGACATTTTCCGCCACGCATCTCTCGGCCCGTACGCCCAATGCTTAGCGGATTTAGTACGAGTTACCGCGTAATCGTGGTAGTACGGAATAACGAGTAGACCGATAAAATTCTGTCCCATATAACCTTTTTTATATGGGAAGGGTTTATATGGATTTAGACCGGGGGGCTCCCATTTTGAAATTTTCCCGTTTTGAGATCGCATTGGCCAAAATGCATTGCGGTGCTAACAGGTGCTTGACCACTCGCGGCTCAGCGGGGAGGGCTTTTGGCGGCCCACAAAATTGTTTTTTGGGGCCTACCAGAAAATTTATTTCATTTGCCCAAAATGGAAAGTGTTGAGCCAATTTTTCCGATTGGCATTTTTTCGGGTTAAAATATAAATCATCGCGCTAACCATTAACGACACATATTAAAGAAGCCAGTAGTCCAGGATTTGTTAGAGGGTTGGCGCCCAGCAATTTATGCTATTGTTTAGGCCTCCTTTATCTTGTGATATTGGCGTGCGCTCCTTTTTTACGGAATTTTAAAGAAAATTGTGAACTCATGAACTTTTCTGCGCTGATTTTTGACCGCACGCTCTTTTTTTTAAAAATCAACGCCACGCGGCGTCGCCCATGAATTTTTCCCTTTCTTTGCCCCGGCTAGCTTTCGGTGGGCTGAAGCCGAGCCTACGAGAACGGCCGGACTTATAATGCCGACATGCGTACTTTTACCCCAGCATTGTCGATTGGTTTTTTGGAGCTGCCCGGAGCCTACGCTCGGATTTTATCATTCAGATAGGCCCATGCGAGCGGATGGGAATGACAATTTTTGCTGTTTTTCAGCGGGGGTCCAGGGGGCCGCAGGGGCGCGGTCAGTCGTCCAGGGCGATGCGCTGGTCAGAGGGGCTTGTCAGGGGCTGCTTTAATACGTACATAAATGACATATGTAATTATAAACAGAGCGCCACGCACGCCTTTATTTGCTTACGCCAAAAAGTTGTCCGCGGGAAGAATCGCCTCCCCGTGGCCGCGCCACCGCGCGGATATAATAACTCTAAGCACCCTAGCGGAACCATGGGCGTTAGTCGATTCGCCGGGCCGACAGTTTAGTTGGCATTTAATTTTTTTTATTGGTTTTCAAAGGTTTCAATCGAATTAAGGCAGGTCGGCGACCACCACCTTTTTAGGGTTATGTATGATTAAACAGAACGTCGTTGGCGAGAGGTGAAACAGTTCTGACTACGTTTCCTACGTGTTTTAGTATGAGGGGCCACACGACGCGTATTTTTTTTGCCCGAGCGCGCCGCATTTTAAATCGCCTCGAAAACATTCGCCCGGTGCGCCGGGCGCGGTGCACCCGGGTCGATCGACCGATTTTCGTACCCCGCCCGTCACCGGGACATCGCCCGTTATGAGAAAAAATGTTTAGATATTTTTTTTCGCCGATTATTAAGCCGGCCGGGATGTCGCATCCGCTTTGGAAATTTCGCTTGTTCTTGCCCCGTGTTCCGGCGTATTATTGTGGAAGCCAAATAAATTAATCGGCACGTGGTTGGTTAGTATCATGTGATCCCGGTCGCAGTGGCGTACGCCGTACGCTCTCAAATTCAGCCACCGTGTGCCCTTCGGGATCGGGGCGTATAATTCGCTGGCGATTGTAATCGTAGCGACTCGGCCGAAAAATGACCGCTTCTGTGTGCCCTCTTATAGCTCCTTTCAGCTTTACTATTAGCCGCGCTACAGATGCTTTGCAGCTATGTTACGGCACGCCGGCAACTGTACCCGCGGCCTTTTAGGAGTAGTGGTTTGCGCCCTTTAGAAACACCGGGGGTTGAAAACCGAGGGCAGAGCCCGCCGCCGGCTATTCATAAAACGAGCCCCAACGTCCAGCGGTGCCCGGGCGGGGCGTGATCGCGGGGGCGGGGGGTTTACGCGGGGCCGGGCGCGTGTGTCGATCGGACTCTGCGTACTGAAAGGTATTTATATATTACAGAGGGAAGGACGTAGGAAAGCGGTTCCGCCCGCAGTGTAGCGGATAAGATTCGCAAGAATCTTGGAGCAGCTTGGTATTATGCCGCTGTGTTAGGAGCGGCCGAGACAGGAAATGTGTACTTCGCCCTAAAATATTTTTATCTTTGGGCCTGCTAGATATTTTGTTTTTTTGGTATGTTTGGTAGTCGGCCCTAGCAGATTTTGCTCGCCAGGGCGCAGGCGCCGGGGGACCGGGGCTGTGTCCGGAGCGCACTGGCGTACAGCGGCCCGACGCCTCTATTGGCGTACGAAAAAAACCTACGTTCCCTATTCTACAGGCTTTACCGTTTGCTGACTGATATGTCGTCATACATTCACTTTCAATCGTTTATTTACTTCTTTTTAAAAGATGGTTTTTCGAGAAAAGCCTCGCTTCATTTAACTTAGGGGTAAATTTACGTTGGCCATTTTAAAACCAAGTCAGACCAATCACAGCGAGTGCTTATTCGAGGCGCTCCGTGCGAGCGCCAAGATTACCAAGCGGAGAACCAGGGGCTTATGTTAAGGACTCGCTCTGATTGGTTACTGATTGGGCTTTGTTAATGCGGGCGAACGTATATTTACTAAAGGAAACGCGGAGTTAAAATGAAGCCGGGCAGGCTTTTCTGAAAAACAATCTTTTAAGAAGTCTCTCAATAAATATATGTTTTCACGAATCTGAGTGTAGTACTGTTGTGCTGAATTCTGGAAAGAGACTAAATAAAATCCGTCTCTGTATACCATCATAATGACAACTCCAAACGTGAAAAAAGCATGTGTACTTGCGAATATAAACCACTATCATTGCACTTGATATCACTGAAAAAACGTAAAACTTTCATGGAAAAGTAAATTTTGATTTATTCATTTTCTGTAGGAAAACTATCAGTATTTTTTTAATTTTCATCCTTGTGTACTGATGTAGATTCAAAGTATTCACTCCTGCTTTCATTTGTTCTGTTGTACTTTAGATGAAGTTGGTGCAATAGTATTCGATATTGGGCTCGCATACCATAAGAGCTGGGTTATGCAGGAGAAGACAGTCCGAAGGTACGTTTTCATCAATATAACAAGCTTTTTATCTCAGCTGTTATAAGGCTGGTATTTGTGGCATATCGTAGGATAGCAGTCGCCCCCCGATTTCCCCTTAAAAGATTAAGGTCGGCTCATTATTGGAAGGGGAACAATTTTTAGTTATTAGTGTTTTTAAAAAAAATTTACCCCCAGACACACAGGATCCCCTCCAGCCATTTTTTTTGGTGGATGTAGGAGCCTGCTCGTTTGAGTCCTGCCATGGGAAAGCCAATGCGGGCGCACCACCTAGAACCGCCCCGCAGAAAGAAATACCTTTCATACCGCCACTGGAGCAGCAATCGGGAAGGGCATTGAATGTTCGGGGCCACTTCATGCGGATGGCATGAGTGAGTTGTCATTTGTGGAGGAGAGCTATTGGGGCGTGGGAGAAATGTATTTGAAGTCCATGGCGGTTGTTGTGTCAAGAGATGACAGGTGGATTTACAAGGGGCAACTGGAAGCGTAAAAAAAAAAGAGAGAAAAAGTGCAAGTGCTATTGGCCTGATACAAAGAAATGAAACAATGAATAGCATTGTGCTAGAGAGGCAGATGGATGGCAAATTTAATACATTCAGATAAACAATATTAGTGTTTGACATTTCTCTGCTTTGCCTGTTCACAGTTGATGACTGGGATATGTTTGAGGAGGTTATGGATCATCTATACAAGAAACACATTAAATCTGAGTCCAATATGCATCCAGTTATGATGTCAGAAGCACCAGTAAGTAACACCCACTCACCAAGGAGTCATGCGAGACCGTCAGAGAAATTTCTACCCATTTAGGCATTCATTAAGAGACAGTTATGAGAAAATTCATTCTAGCTGCAATAGAGATGTAAAATATTTATGTCTTACTCATTTTTTACAATTTTTTATTGTTGTATTTTATATATTTTCTATTTTTTCTTCAGTGGAATACAAAGGCAAAACGAGAGAAGTTGACAGAACTGATGTTTGAGCATTACAATGTGCCAGCATTTTTCCTGTGCAAGAATGCTGTCCTGACAGCGTATCCTTGAATTATTCTGCATATAAAAACACATAAAAACACATCGGGCAAACCAGTAAACCAACACAATTATAACCTAAAAAGAAGAAAACCATGCATCACACAGGCACACACACGCAAACACATAGATATTCATAAATCTATATATTCATCAGCAGTCCAGGTAGAGTATCAGCTTGGTGGGAAATGTCATAGGTTTGCCTGTGTTATTAGTTATGATGTCAGTTATAAGCAGATTGGAAGATTATATCCTTAACCTGAGCTGTACAGGTTTGCAAATGGTCGCTCCACTGGACTGGTTCTGGACAGTGGTGCAACACACACATCTGCAGTGCCAGTTCATGATGGATATGTTGTCCAGCAAGGTAGACTTTTGGCTATAAAAAATAGTGTGCGTGCGTGCGAGTGCGTGCGTGTGCGTGTGCTAGTGCGTGCGTGAGTGCATGCATGTGTGCACGTGTGTTATTATATATATATAATATATATTGGCATTATTAGGTTAATAGCAGTGGCGAGGTGGAAACACTAAGATGGGCACTATCACAGGCCTCTGCTACTTGTTTGATTCCTGTGTATTCGTGTCCATGTTCTTTTGAGCTCACTTAATATTTGTGCTCATCATTGTAGCTATCGTGAAGTCGCCACTGGGAGGTGATTTTCTCACCATGCAGACGAGGAAGGATCTAGAGGAAATGGGCATTGACCTTTGTCCCAACTATCTCATAGCCAGTAAGGTAGGTTGACAAGGACAGAGAACAGATATATCAGTATTTTAGAATTGAATCCATTGTTAGTTATATAATGTTTAAGTCTAATGTTTGGTAGTTTTTTAGTGTTGGTTGTCCAGTGTTCTTAGTTGCTAATTTGGTTAGTTCTCAAATGTTCTTTTTCTAAAAATACATTGTTTGGATGTTTACTGGGCATCCATAGGTATACTGACATTTACTCTAACATTTTCTTATGCACATACTTGACAACTGCTACGTGTTCACTGTGTATTCTAGGAGATAGCCAAGGAAACCGAGAAGCCAGTCTATGTGAGAAAGACGAATGTGCCGGAGGTTACTCGCTCCTTCCACAACTACATGGTGCAGGTAAACTGTTAGGGGAATATATTGCTCGAGCCTAGGTCATGTGTGCATCGTTAAGTAGAAGGGTAGTTTCCTTAGCACAGCCATTAATTTCATTGGTTATTGGGGAATGACCATTGTACCACAAGTGTGCACAAAGGTCAGTATAATATGAGGTGTATATAAATATGCGTCTAACAATTTAATAGTTTATCTATAAGAGCTATTGGATGTAATTTGTAAGTACCTCTTGCAAATTTGTGTACCTCTCCTCAAAATGTCAACAAACATTATAACATGTATGGTTCTTTTAGTCGTCGATGGAGTTTTTGAAGAAAAAAAATATTGTACTGTATAATTTATAGTATTTTTTCCCTCGGGGACTATGCAAAACAGTAAATTACAATGTTAGATTGGATGGTCTGAGAGAGTGGTGTGTGGATCTCATGTTGCAAGTTGACTCTACCATCTTTATGCATTTCTTGGCTTTCAGGATGTAGTTCAAGATTTTCAATCTACATGTCTGCAAGTTTCTGACCAACCATATGAGGAAAGGTAATGCATTTTTTTAGTAAAACCATTAGAGGTTCTCTAGTTTCACTAAAGCGGGCAGCACACTTCACCATTTTTGTTGCTCGTACAGGCAATTTTCGTGGTCGCCACAAAAATGGCCAAGTGTGTGGGGGCCGGCAACGACCACTAACCACGGAAATTTTGTGGTGACCACGAGTTGCCAAGAATCAAACAGGTTTGATTTCTCACCACGAAAATTGCTCGTGGTGGCAACTTATGGTGAAGTGTGCTGTGACGCGGCAACGGCCACAAAAATTGCCGACCACGAAAATTACCTGTACGAGCAACAAAAATTGTGAAGTGTGCTGCTAGCTTAAGCAACAACTGGGAGATGAAATCACCATTATAATGGATTTTGTGCGAGATTCCAGCGACTGGTTTATGTGTGTGCGTAAATGATGTGCCTCTTTAATCTCAGTCTGGTTTTGCTTCAGAGAATCACTGTTAGTTTCATCTTGCTCCCGTGTTTTACAATCATTATAAGACCGATGCCTCTTTGTTAATAGTGAGGCTGAATCTATGCCAGCGTCGCACTACGAATATCCAACCGGCTACAATCAAGATTTCGGCGAGGAGATGTTTTTGATGGCTGAGGCGTTGTTCGATCCAACACGCATCAAGGTAATCATTAACTAATCACAGGACAGTGCATGTAGGTTTAACTAATTGTGTATTGTGTTTATGTGTGGGTGTGGGTGTGTGCGTGCGTGCGTGCGTGGGTGTTTTTGCAAGCATGGGTGTGTTTGCTTGTGTGTGTATGTATAACGTGCATGCTTCGCTGCGGTGTGTATGTAGAGCAGGGTGATCGAATATACAGTGAGTAGAGAAATATGGTATAAAGTTGCAATAAGAGCTCAGTATCATGTGGTGTGCATTATGAACAGTCAGGCATGTGAGCTTCACCGTTGTTGTTGTGGCAGGGTGCGACCGGGAGCACCATGATGGGGAGTAGTCACGTCGTAACCACCAGCATCGGAATGTGTGACCAGGACATCAGAATGGTGCGTATTAAACCACGGTAACGACGCTTGCCGTGCACTAACACTGCGCACCCGTACCCCCACAACCGCCCACCCCACCCCACAACACATGCCACCCCCGCCGCACCCCACCCCACAACAAGCACCCACCCCCACACACACGCCACCCGCCCACCCCACCCCACCCCACACAACCCACCCCCCCCCACCCCACCCCACACACACGCCACCCCCGCCCACCCCACCCCAACACACACGCCCACCCGCCCACCCCACCCACCCCACACTACACGCCACCCCCGCCCACCCCAACCCCACACACACGCAGCCCCCGCCCAACCCCACCCACACACACGCCACCCGCCCACCCCAACCCCACCCCACACACACCCACCCGCCCACCCCACCCACACACACGCCACCCCCGCCCACGCCCACCCCACGACACCACGGCCACCCCCCCACCCACAACCCCACCCCAACACACACGCCACCCCCGCCCACCCCACCCCATCACGACACCCACCCGCCCACCCACCCACACACACGCCACCCGCCCACCCCACACCCACCCCCACACACACGCCACCCCGCCACCCCACCCACCCACACACACACGCCACCCCCCACCCCACCACACACACGCCACCCTGCCACCCCACCCCACATCACACGCCCACCCCCGCACCCCACCCCACACACACCCACCCCTGCGCCACCCACCCACACACACGCACCCCTGCACCACCCCACCCACACACACCCACCCCTGCCACCCCACCCCGCACACACACGCCACCCCCGCCCACCCCACCCCAACACACGCCACCCCGCCCACCCCACCCACCCCACACACACGGCCACCCCGCCACCCCACCCCACACACACGCGCACCCCCGCCCACCCACCCCACACACACGCCACCCCTGCCCACCCCGAGCCCCACACACACCGCCACCCCTGCCCACCCCACCCCACACACACGCCACCCCTGCCCACCCCACGCCCACACACACCCACCCCTGCCCACCCCACCCCACACACACGCCACCCCTGCCCACCCCACCCACACACACCGCCACCACCGCCCACCCCACCCCACACACACGCCACCCTGGCCCACCCCAGCCCCACACACACGCCACCCCTGCCCACCCACCCCACACACACGCCACCCCCTGCCCACCCCAACCCCACCCCAACAGCACACGCCACCCGCCGCCCACCACACCCCACACACACGCCACCCCGCCGCACCCCACCCCACACACACTCCACCCCGCCACCCCACCCCACCCCACACAACGCACCCCGCCACCCCACCCCACACACACGCCACCCCCGCCCACCCCACCCACACACACGCCACCCCTGCCCACCCCACCCCACACCACACGCCACCCTGCCCCACCCCACCACACACACACGCCACCCCTGCCCACCCCACCCCACACAAACGCCATCAACAACCTTCGCCTGTACGAAAACAACGTTATCTGAGCAACGGAACCCACATATATGCTGTGGTACATTTATGAACGAGTATACGGTTATTACCTCTGCCAAGGGGTTGGCAGGAGGTTATGTTTTCATCGGCGTGTGTTTGTTGGTTTGTGCGTTTGTTTGTTTGTGTACAGCCTAACTAAAAAAGTTATGGACGGATTGTCATAAAATTTTCACTATAGGTCAGAAATGGGCTAACTTAGAATTGATTACATTTTGGTGGTGATCTGGATCCAATTAATTATTTAATTAATTAATACAATTTTTCACAGTGAGAGAATTGAGCTACCTTGGCAGAGGTCTGCGCTCTCCGAGTGCTCTAGTTGTCAATGGGAATGGAATAGGAAATATTGATTTGGAGCTGGTGGCATGATGCATTCTTGATTTTATTGTTCTGATTGCAGAGTTTGTACGGCAGTGTCATAGTGACGGGAGGCAACTCTTTGCTGAATGGCTTCACAGAGAGACTCAATCGAGATCTCACCAGCAAGACACTTCCGGTGAGCTCGTTTGACCTGTCAACAGGCAGTTGTAGTTAACACGCAGTTGTAGTTAACACGCAGTTGTAGTTAACACACAGTTGTAGTTAACACGCAGTTGTAATACGCAGTTGTAGTCAACACGCAGTTGTAGTTAACATGCAGTTGTAGTCAACACGCAGTTGTAGTCAACACGCAGTTGTAGTTAACACGCAGTTGTAGTCAACACGCAGTTGCACTGTTGCATTGTATTGATATTCGTGGCTGTTTTACAGAGCATGCGAGTGAAGCTGATCTATCCGAACGGTGCAGCAGAGAGAAGATTCAGCTCATGGATCGGCGGCTCTATCTTGGCGTCATTGGTACGATTGCATGGCACTGCCACATGTTGTTCATGTCGCCACATCTCTACGTCTTTTCATTTCATTTTGTTACATTTATCGTGTAGCAACGTAGTTGCCTGGAGGGAATGTAGGATGTTGCCTGTACGCACATACTGGTGTACATACATACGTATGTTAGTATCTTGTGATTACTATGGCGATTTTATTTTCCAAAGGTTTCCCACAATCTCCTTTCACATGTGTTTCACAAATAGCTGGATATAAATGTGCAAACATTTTGTAATAAAAAGCTTGTGATTCATCACGAAATACAAACGAAAATCGAAATGTCTTAATTGCTACAACGATTCCAATCATCTTGCTGGAATGTTTCGGTATCTGTGTATGAACTTACTACCTAGTCATCCAGTTATATCTAAAATCTTGACCTTTTGCAAGCTTTTCTTTTGTGTTGTTGTCTCTGTAGCAACAACGGCACATCAAATAATTGAGTCATCTTTTTGGCAGGGTTCATTTCAGCAGATGTGGATTTCGCAGCAAGAGTACGAGGAAGGTGGGAAGGGCTGTGTCGATAGGAAGTGCCCATGAGGAGCGTATAATATATCACCGATAATCGTAATACGATGTATCCGACTCATCGTTGTTCCAGTTGGCTTTATCTTGTCTCGAGCCCATCGTTGTCACAGTTGGTTTCATCTTGTCATGAGCGAAAGAACTTCCGTAGATGCTGGCCGGTATAAATAAGGCCAGGAGCGAATAAAAACAAATGCACAAAATCAACAAATTTTATTTACTCCCGATAAGCTTTTGCTTTTGCTCTCAGAGCCATCTGGTGGGTAATTTCTTTGCTAGCACTCTCGTCGGCGGTGGCACGTAGGTGAGCAGTGTAATACTTCAGTAGCTAGATGTTTGGTGTCGCTTTACTGCGGATGGAATTTCTTATCTACGGCTAATATAAGAGAATGTAAAAAAAAAATGTGAAAAAGTGGAGTTTATAAAGAAATCATTACCGGTCTGTCTATTGAATTGTTTCATAAATATTGTGAATGTAAGCCTTGATGTAATCTATTGTCTATTTAGTATCATTGTGAAATGTAATGTCCAATAAAACGTAGTGTGTTTTTCTAAATATTCCGCATTTCTTTTTTCATTTCTTCGTTGTAAGCTGAGTAACTGAATGAAACACTTAAAATAAAATGAATTGTAATGGGGTTAGCCGCTAGCTTTGTCAGCAGGGGCGCAGCGCGAGCGGGAGCAGCAGTTGTAGAGCCGATTGCGCAATGACCCATGGCAGATGTAAACATACATACAGGGATCACAAGCCGATCCTATATTTTGATCAACATATCAGAACAAATCGAACATATTTATACCTAACTTTAAGAGCTCCTGATAGCACAATTCTCCCAATATATATATATATATATATATCTGTGTCTATTATACTCTATATATTTTCAGCGTTATCTCAAGTAAATATATTATAGTGCAACTTTTAAACAAGCTTGAACATCGAAGCAGGGTCTCAAATGAGTGGTGTAGATGTAAACTTTACGTTATCTATCGAATATTGTCAAATCAATGTTCTATAATTATGTATATAATCAAGTAAAAACGAAGAAAATTGCAACGAGCAAAACCATTAAATTTCGACATGTTTATTAAAACACGAAATTCTATAAGAACTTGAGGCGAATGTTCAGATTTTGTTGTGAAATCCCATTCACGTTTCAAGTCTAGTTTTCTCGCTAAATTGCCACTCAATTTGCCTTTCTGTACGTACTCACCGTATGCAAGCTTTATTACTCCTTTCCTTCACCCCATAAATAATAAAATCCGATTTTGATATAAAAATGCGTCAGTATGAAAATCAGAGTGCCCGGCAGCCGGCATATATCTGACGGCTGCCGGGCACGGTCTTCGATTTTCTAAATGCCCGGCAATTTTTAATTTTCAGCGTTATCTCAAGTAAACAAGGGTTAGGGTTAGGAACTGCCGGGTATTTAGGATATGGCATGGCATGGGATGGCATAAGATGCGACGAGATGGGATGGGATGGGATGGGATGCGGTGCGATGGGATGGGATGGGATGGCATGGAATGGGATGGATGGATGGATGGATGCATGGATGCATGGATGGATGCATGGATAGATAGATAGTTGTATTTTTTTTGGGTATTTTCCTTTCAACCAAGCGGTCACCAACTGAGTAACGCCACTGATTTCCCGGGGCAACGCCGGGTATCCCGCTAGTATATATATAAATTATGAGGAGAAATATGAACTAACTCTCATGCCGCTTTATTGGGGACGGATGTGAATCTCGTTACAACCTATACAATTGTGTTTTCTACCTGTTTGACGTTCCGTTGATGTTGGCATATTATATACTAATTATATATATGTGTGTGTGTGTGTGTGTGTGTGTGTGTGTGTGTGTGTGTGTGTGTGTGT